TTGCACATGACAATCCATTTCAAGTACATTCACGTATATTAATATACATGTTCTGGAACTAACTACATATTTCAATGTTTTCGTAATACACTTTTGATATCCTCAAGTAAACAACTAATCATAAATATTTCAACCTAAACTAAAATGAATCAAAATTGCTTCGATTTGTAAAACTTCTGTGTAAATACCAACAGTATATACATTATAAGTGAATGGAATTGTAATGCGAGTCTCCAAGTACTATTTTTCCATAATTCTTGTTCCTTCCAAGATGTATATATATTTATACATATATAGCTTCACAATACCTTGTTGGATCGCTTTTCATATTTTCACGAGAATAGGAAACACTACTGAACGAACGCAAGTTTGATGGACCCTGTAATTGTATTTCGTCATCACGACTGAGCAAAGTATTGAAAATTTTCATCGACTGGATGTCAAGTTCCTTCACTGCTTCGTAGTTAACACACGCAGTTCTAGCATCTTGAAAGGAACAGTTCAGCATTCTTAACAGCTCTCTTACCAGACCCGGTATGTTAATCCGGACCTTTGTTGCTACCTTGACGTGGTGGTCGGGCTTGACTATTGTGATGGACCAATCGAACTCTACTGGCTAGAACAATCGTTCCTCCAGCTCCTACCATGCCAGGCAGGTCGGCTGAAGAATGGCAAGACCAACAGTAATAAACCCAGGGGCAGAAGGAGAAGTCGTACTGCTGACTTTACAGAGGTGTGACAGCAGTAAGGTGTTTCCTTCAGACAACCAGCATGACAGCGATGCTGCCTTCCCACAATGAGGGGTGGGGTTAGAAAATATTGACCCTAAAAGTTCACACCTCGCCTTATATCACGGATATCCGTCTCCGGCAGTTAGATCTCAACAAGTACGGAGCTAACACGAAAATTACCCACAAAAGGTCGTGTATGACCGACCTCAAGCGGTTGTCCCTTGGGCAAGTTACCATGTTAGCTACCTCATAGCTTGTGATGAATTCTCTTCAGTAGGTGATAATTATTAGGAATCGTTTTTGGTAAAGCCTTCCCCACGATGTCAAAAAAATTTGAACGCTCTTCATACTAATGCCCAATCTTAGTATCATGTTTCATCAGACATAGTGGTTATAGCAGGTGACTTTAATGCCCAAGTAGGTAGCTTAAACCAAACAGGAAGACATTTGGGTGGGTAGTTTAGGATCCCGAATCAGCGAACAGATGATGGTGATCATCTGCTGCAACTTTGCCCAGATAATCGTTTATTCTTAGCAAACACTAATTTTAAGCATAAGGAGAAATACCGTCTAACATGGCGAACCCTACACCAAATCAACGATGGACTCAAATAGATCATATTGCCATCAGTCATCGTTGGATAGGGTCGATAGAAGAATGTTTCGCGTTCTGCAGTGCATGATAAATACGAGAACGCATTTACTTGCACTTCACTGGAGGTAGAATAGCAACAGTAAGAAGACCCACTAGAATTGAATTGAATGACGAGAAAGCCGAAAGTAGATTCCAGGAACAATTGAGGTGACACTTAAGTAGTTCTGAAAACGAAGCTGACCTAGATGTCGCTTGTAAAGATATACGAAGAGCTGTGGAAACAGCTGTTAGTTATTTAAACCAAATGGTTACAAAAAGCCAATGGATTTCTTCCAAGTCTATTGCATTGATAGATTCTTGTAAACTCATCCCACCAGACTTTGAACGCGATAAAGAGCGAAAGCAAATCAGATCTATGTTAAGCAAAAGTCTAAGGAAGTTGGACTTAATCGCATCTGACTGGTCACAATCACTAATTGTCTTAATATATAAGAAGGAATCAAAATCGTCTTGTGACAACCATAGAGGGATTATTTTGCATAATATGGCATCTAAAATACTAGACTCAACAATTATCGGACGCCTAATCAAGACTCGTGAACTGCAAACACAAGAAAATCAAGCTGGCTTCAGACATCGTCGTGGATGCAGCGACAACATATTCATCACTCTTCAGGTTCTAGAAAACAGGCATGCTTACCGGCGTCCGACAATGGTGGTCTTTCTTGACTTAGAAGCATCGTTTGACTCAGTAGACCGCGAGATTCTGTGGCAGTGTCTATCATTGAAAGGCGTACCTCAGAAGTACATAAACCTTGTGAAGGCTTTTCTGGACATAACTGTTGGGGTGATCCAGAAAATTGCTTGCAAAAGACAAGCAAGCATCAGGAAACACCAAGAAGCGTTTCATCAAATCACCGTTCACTCCGAGTTTTTGTCAAAAATATCAAAGAAGTGAATCGTCTCATGCAGAGGCTCTGATTGGTTGGCTGCTACACTGCTACTATTTTTAGTAGCATTTCCAGAATCTTCTAGAGACCCAAAGACATTTAAAATATTATAAAAACCCTGTATTTTCTGTATTAAAATGAACCTTGGAGTAAACTACTTCTCGCATACTTTGAGTCTTCTATCTCGTGTTCAGGTCGCTGCGTAGTTCTAGCTTGGGGGTTACAAAATAGCTTAGAAGACGAATATAGCGTTCAATCTGTAAGACTTATCAATAACAGCTTTTCATAGACTGTAGGCTTGTTTTCCAATGAATGTAAGGAGATGTGCCACAATTTTATCACCATTAACATCTTTCTTGGTTATCTTACAGATTTCAAACCTTTTCAAATAAATCTCAAAAGCTTCCGAAGTTGAACGAATGACCAACTGTTCTATTACAGGCTCCATCGCGATGCCAATATGATAACTAGGAGCATTTGAATTATAGTACAAACTAGGAATCCCAAAAATAATTCAACTTAAGCAAGAAGTACTAGATAAGCATGGACAAATTTATTGTATTTGAAATTCGAAATCAAGTATTCAATAAGTACAAATGAATTGTTAATTCATGCAAACACCACAAGAATATCAATACTGTACCTCCCGTACTAATACATCGATTTTGGCATTTTTAATAAATTCAGTGTCTCTGACTAGTTGAAATAATTGTTGGATTCGTTAGTAAATATTAATAATCCCACCAAAAAATTAATTACTTAACACTTATGACCAAAATACTGACATAATTAGAATGAACTTCATGCAAATTTTAGAAAATAATTATAATGGAAGTTGACAGAAACTACATTTCACGGCGTTATTAGTTCTCTATTATGTTGTAATGAAGACAGGTCAACAGGTTAGCAGGCCACATAATAGATTTCGATCCTCTCAATTAATTCTTCCATTTAGACACTAGTATCTATAATTGAAAACCACTGAATGAGGTGAGTGATTTCAAATATACAGAACACATTCAGTAGGGTTTATCGTCTATGCACCAGTATTTGTCGCTTCATTAAATTCCTCAAAATGATGTATATCCAGATACTTGATGTGTCCTAATATCCACTCGTTAACTAACATTGATGTTTCATTACACTTGATGATTAGAATTATCATTAAAATCAATTATGAAACAAAGTCCTTGTTAAGAAGACTTTCAAAGTTATGAATGCGTTTAGTCATTGTGTTGCAAATCAAGTTTACATAAATGAACTCGGGTTTCTCTGAACGTCAATCGAGAAAAATAAATTGATTTTAATTGCAAAAATATTTAATAGAAGTAACGCGATCCGTTAGGGTGATGATGAAACAAAAGAAGACAATAAGTAAGAGTCTGTTATTCACCGTGATCTGTCTCTGTTGTCATATGTGTATTGTAATCGAAAAGCTTTGATGTACCGTTAAGTCACAGATCTTATTATGTTTGTTTCCTGACTGGAAGTCATGAATATCAGCAACGGGAAATTAGAAAGTCTCATCAATACATTTACACCTGTTGAATAAATCGAAGCATGTATAGACTCAGTGGCTCAGTGGATACTGAGTTTGAGTTTAAAGTGAAAGGTTCAGGATTTTAGTGCTAGTCTATATGAATGGAAGATCCAGGTGACGAGTCCCAAATAATATGAAATATATGTTCTGAATTCAGCTGCTAGCCACATACCAAATGCAGTAAGAAAATCATTCTAAACAAAATTTGGTATTGATTCTTTACCTATTTCGACACCTACATATCTTGTAGTATATAATCGTAGTTTTCATGTTCTAAAAAGCTTGAAAAGTTATGAGCACTCTATGATGATGACGGGACGCAAAATGTTTGAGCGTTACTTTTCCGGGGATACAAATGATAAGGTTCGAACAGGTAGGTAAATGAACTTTTTTCCGCTAAAGTTTATGCTGATAATTGATTATTTTTAGAAAAAAGAGCAATTGTAAGTTCGATTCGTATCTTTCATTCTGCAATACCAAACCCATATGTTTTGGAAACTAAAAGAGTAAGGAATTCTCATTTGTGTTTTGTTGAACTGTACCTGTTTTGTGAAGTTGACTATATTTTGATTACTTCAAATACTAGTTGTTACTTTGAATTACACATTCATTTCCATTGATGTTATTGTAGTAAAAATTTGACCCTTGTGAATAGCCTAGTTGGAATTATTTCTGTGAGAATTTCTCAGAAAAACAATAATCCTTTAGATGCATTTTAGAGCGTGTTTATTTAAATTTTATTCCAACCAATGAGACAGTCAAATTCCTAATGACCAATTAGGTTATACAAATAGTTGCTATATAAATATACTCATCCATCAGTATGGTTTATTTAATTATATTGAACAGAACTGTGGAAATGAAGATTCTTGCAGTAAGTTAGATTCATTATGATTTATACGACTGAAACCTTCACGTAATACAATTCATCATATTTTTCTGATATATTTCTGTCCAATTTTCCAACAATGCAAATCAAGTCAGTGATATCATGTTAATCTAATTGTATACGGTAACAATTAGTTATCAGTACAAACTGAATGGACTTACGTGAAGTCATGAAACTTGAGAAATTGATACTCCACCTAATATAATGTTACAAATACGTTATTTTTATCATTTGTAGAATCAAATTATTTGATCGCTGTCGTTTCCTAACTAAATCCGTTTAAATTCCTTCTTAGGTTTTCGGTATTATGTTAACTTATTTCTGTGCAGTAACGTTCGGAGCTGAAAGTCTTCACCGATGTAACAAAGATTTTGAGGCAACGATGGAATTTTGTTTCAGACAGTACAAACGTAATTCACGTGAGTGTTGGTAACAGATTATAATGAACTGCAATGTCAATACTTATCATCGATTCACAATGTCCAATGATGGACTTATTGTTTTGTCAACGTATTTTTATGCAAGATTTGTTAATTTGAAAGTGTCAGCTAAACAATATTGTGCATGACAATGAGCATGTGTTTGATTCACTTTCAAGTGACTAGTTTCTAATTGTAATAATTTCGGTATATTAAGTTGGAGTTGTCATGTAGCTAGGAGTAAAACACTCCATCTCATCACCCTACAGTGAACATAGAGAGTTTCAAAACTGTTATACAACATAGAGTTTACTACTTGATGCATTATTTATTCTGACTATATTTTGTATGAACAACAATCCATAATAGTGTGTAAATGTACTGACGATCATAAATTTGAGCGTATTAACACATGTGATCAATGTGAATCTTAAAATTCTCTGCATATACCTATTACATGCAACTACTTTTCCACAAATATATCCTTGAAGCAATTATAGATATAGTTAATTTTAAAATTAAATTGAATTTCATAATTAAGTAAATGTGAATGTCCATCATCATCCACTTCAAGAAAAGTTTACTGCTACCATACACCATTAGCGTCTCATTGTGATTATCACTATCATAACAACAATAATGTCATGTGTGAATGAACGTTTATTAAAAATTATTCGAAATCCTATACTACTGAAATGATTTTTCAGTCTTATCATTGCGTATATGAAGACATGTCGGTTGAAATAATTTTTGATCTGTTAATTTAACTGTTCATTACCGAAAACTGTGTTATCTTGATTATTTCATAACTTTGTTAGTTTTCCTAAGCGGAGTTCTATCGAACTAATCGCTATCATATAAATGATTCTTTATGCAAGTTAACTAATCTCTGTTCCAGAAGATTATTTAAATCACATTTACATCATGATTGAAATCCATTCAATGTAACCATTACTTTATACATGAAACAACATGATGGAAACGAATAACAGAATTCGCTATGTAAGGATTTGTTATTATTTTGTTATTCTTATTCGGAGGCCATTTTTATTTATCCGTATGGTTTATAACATGTCTTTTGAAACGCCATTGTTTGTCTCTTTTTCTTTAGACAAGTTCACGGACTTAAAGAGTTTGAGAAATGCTTGCATGAGTGATAGTTATTGCAAACCTAGAGCAAAGAATTGTCTTTTATCTGCACTTCAAGGTTCGGCATTCAGTAAATGTCCTTTACAAAGAACCTATATAAAATCAATAAATCGGATGTTCTGATTAACATCTGGTCATCTCTTAGTCTATTATTTGAATTTGTAATATACAGATAAATAAAGTCTTTATTTTATTAACTGTAATTTTTCTAGACAACAATTAGGGATGATAAATTATAAATAATGGCTTCACCAAATCTTAGTGAAATAAAGCTGAGTTACCTGTTAGTCATTTTTAGAATTTCAGCTTGATTTGCCTGATTAAGAATGATGTATTTGAAATAGAATAAATATGGCGAACTTGGAAACTTCGAATCTCGCAATGCAGGATCGTGAATGCGCACTGTTGAGTAGTCCCACAATAGGACGAAACAGCCGTCTAGTGCTTCCAGGTTTTCCATGGTGGTCTATTGAAATTATTATAATTCAGTCAATCATTTTATAATTGGCTTAATTTACCATGTGCTTGCATATATAGTTAATATGATAAAGAACTTTGTTCAATTTATGAAATTATTTCACACGAACCTGTAGATATGAATTCTGTAATTGTAATTCAATGTCTTAATGAATTTTTCAACGAAACATCATTTGAAGAGTTGCTATACTTTATTCTTCATACCTGTCTCTAATAGGTATCATCTCTTATTCCACTTTTTGTTTCCGATCATTTTCGGATCTAAAAGTTTTCAACCATGAAATGAAAAACTGAGAGTAACAATGAGATTTTGTTTTAAGCATGGGTTAAAAATGTCAGGTTAGCGTCGATAACTTGTTTCAAATCTACATTTTTGTATTACACATGAGTATAAAATGAGACAGCATTCGTTTATATTGCCTAATCCAAGGTTTAATGTAAGTGATAAAATTGGCCATTATCTCACAAGAATAGTAGTAGTAAAACTTGTAGTTCAGCCTATAAAACATGTCACTTGATACGTTAATATATATACCCTCTAAAGCTAGAAGAAAAACCCTGAGGATATAAGTTCAGTGATTTCGGGATCTATATGTTATGTTTTAGTTGCCCAAAATCTGACTCCAGTTAGATCGTTTCTGATTGTTATCGAAATATACGTGTCGTCAATCCTCGCATATAATTACCAACTTAAATCGCGTTAGTGAATAACAGAATTTAATAAGTCAAATACGAAAATGGATTTTTGAATAGGTATATTTTGTACAGTCGTTGATCGGAAAGCGAAAGAAGACGAAATGACGTGCAATGCAGAAGGTGAGTGAGCCAACTCAATTTAGCTAAGTATTAACCGAAATTTAGTCAGACAAAAATAAGTTACAGACATGTGATGAGTAAGACTTCAAATGCACACAAATACGCTTACATAAAAACAGTCAAGTTTGATAAGTGAATAAGTGACAAGGTCAAAATGTAGCTTGAGAAAAGTAGATGAATTGGTTTGTCTAGAAGCTGAAATAAGCTATGTAGGCTTGACATAGGGCCAGCCAGTACAATGCCCCCCTGTAGAAAACAGCATATTAATTTAAAAACATCTGTTTTCGAAAACATCACAGAAGTGGTATGTGGTCAGCTTTATCAAGTAGCAAAAAAATTGTAATATATCTGATAGAGTACAGTATCATGTGAGGGGTGAGTACATTGTACGAAAGTATCACAACACTTATGTAAAAAAGTAAATGAATATCGTAAAGACGTGGACAAAAATGGAAGTGCTAGGATGCGTTCATGAGTAGATCAGTAAGCGCACAAAAAATTAAAATGCATTTATGTCGTGACTGTCTAGACGACAAAGTAACGCATTCATATGAGCGATTCCATGTATCATGAAAACAAAGCAATAAATCGTTTATGGGTATGACAGCGGAATAAATCATAAAAACAAGGTAGAATATAACAGGAATTGGTCTGTGGTATCGACAGAATATAAAAGTAAAGGATAGTTGAGTATGAGCCTGTTCTAATAAGCTAAAGTAATATAAATGGCGTCGATTAGCGATTAACGGTTTGGTATTTACGTTGGGTTTATGTTGGATAAACATAATCTAGCGGTAAGATGATAACTGTATTGATGAGTGATATTCGTTGCTGTACTGCAATTGATGATAATCACAAAATGCAAAAATAGTGTAAGTCGTCGTTTGCGTCATAAACAGATGCATCGAGACATCGTTAAATACTATTATAGAATGACCAGAGGAACAGAATAGTGACTGAGAGGACGAGATATGCGGATTCGTATATCTGTTTGGTCGTTTAGCCTAGAATGGTTTATGTTGTTTGAAGAATATGCACTCGTCCTTGTTCGTTGAAAAACCGTATCAAGGCATGAAGTTTATCTATGATGGCGAGTTAGACTGACTTGGATGGGACGAACAAAAGTGTAACCTTGAGAGACTGGCTCTAAACTCTGTTCTGATATACACTGCGACTGGAATAGAATCTTAATTGCAGTAATCGAATAATGTTTATCAGTAACAGGTGATATAGCGTGCAGTTATACACGTGAACTAATAAACAAGACGAACATAACCGTTACTAATCGGCCAGTAGTGAGTTGCCGAATATTTTATGTGTGTATAGATGTTAAAGTAAAGATAGTCGATTTTTTTAAATGTCTGAAGTTCGATTTAGATTGTCGTTGAAAAAGTAGGAAACGACGATTGCTGCGTACAAATGCGATGAATGAAAAATAGTTTCAAATTGAGAACATAAGTTCCTACTACCGGAAGTGACTCCAAACTTATGTCTATGGTAAAGTTGCTAACCGTTGCCAGCGTCGAGGTAGTTGCGACCATGTCGTTATCAGAGTGCAGGAGGCTCACTTGACTGCTTAAACTGAGGATTTGTGTGTATGCTCTAGACCGTAAATTTACCTAGTAGTTTGCAGGTTGTTCGGTGTTCGAGTAGCTAGTAAATACGTCGGGAATGTATGACATGTGATAGCCATATATCCACAAAAATGGATGATAAAAATTAAGCCACTTGTGTGATAAATGATCCAGAACATACTAAAACTGATCGGTCTTAGCAAAAGTATTATTAGAATCAGAGGCATCCGCAGACATAATAGGAGACGATATCAAAACGAAAAATGGATGGTGAGATAACGTAAAAATGACCTCAACTATGTGGATGAGTGTAAAATTCTTGCAAAAATGACACGAAAAAATGGAGCGAATTCATTTAAAGCAGGAAAATTTTACTTCATTGAATAATAACAAATTGTCGAGTGAGTTTCGAATATCATAACGCGAATGGAATGTGCATAACATTATAATTTGTTCAGTGAGTGATATGATTACATAAATGTCATGATTTAATGTCAGCACGAACACAAATAACAATTCCGTGTTAGGTGACGATATGACATTAATGTGATAATGAGCATATGATAATTATTCGAATCATAATGGAATAATCCGCCGAATGAATCAATGAGAAGAGTTGGCACAAGGACAAAGTACCGATAAAATGATACAATTTGAGCATGTCCATGTCGCTGTCGTACCGGCTTCCATGAATGCTCCGGATTAGAGATCGAGTCGTTCGAGTTGCTCAGCGACTAAGTCAGCCAGTTAGTCCGTTTATCAGACGTATAGAGTTCGTGATGTTCACCGTATGTGCAAATTTGCAGGGTGCGTTTAGTTTGAAATTGAGCTTACACTTTAACTAATGGTATGATGATATTATAGATGAGGTTGTCCGGAAGCTAGAATAACCTATGTGGTCTTGGTGTAATGACAGAAGTTACAATGTGACTACAAACTAAAACGTCCTATGTACTATAAATTCCACTTGATCCTCTGTGGTTTCTCCCCACTTACTAGTCACATTCCTTTTGAAGGTTAACCAGTGACTTTAAAAAATCCAAACATTATTTAAGAACGAGGAATCTTACAGTCGAACGATCATCTCATTTGACAAAGTTTTACCCCAAAAATTGTTATAAATGAAAAAAGAACCACAAATTACGGTATTACGCGTACTAAATAATTGCTTGATAGTAATATAATTGGTTATGAATTTGAATAGCAGACATTACGTCACTTCCGTTTATAAGTCCTGCAAAAATTCATTGATATCAAAATTAGTCTAGAATTAATTTCTGTCATTTAATAACCTGATTTATATTTGATATACCACTGTTTTATCCCTAAATAAACATTCTCAGCAATGAAAAATCTGATTTCATCAGATTAAGCGATGCTTACACTTTAGGGAATAATACTTTGACAAATTGTTTTCGATAACAAAAATAAAATTATTCATGATCCCAACAGTTTATGTGAATTACATTTATTTCGTAAGTATATTCCAGTTATTATAACAATTATCTTATTTATGAAACAAAATATTCGACTAACTTTTTTGATAAAGACGGTTTTCATGAGATCGTTCGAAATTTACTCATGAATTTCTTCTTACTCAGGAAGGAATCATAGACTCTCGAGATCTGAAAACAATGAGAACTGTTTACATACAGAATCCAAATTGCAAATATCTGACAAGAAACAGTCTTGCATCGGAATTTAAAGGTCGAGTATTTAATAATTGTCCGATGGCTAGAACCTATATAAGCTCGATCAATCGTATATTTTGATTATACATACTACATACCACATATTTCTAATTACTTCCTATTCTGTCATTAACATCTTCCTCACATGAATATCAGTAAAGTACTACTGACATTAATGATGACTTCCAATAGAACCAAAATAATGAGAAAAGTGCTTGATACAAGAGACAGCTTTCGTCACGTGTATGAAATAAATTAACTGTAGTATTGATAATAGCTTTCACAAACATTTAATTAGGTGAAGTGAATATTTTGGTTCACCATAATCCTACCAAAAAGTATATTTTATATCATACAAACAAATGACTTGAAAACTTAGATTTTAATGTATGAATTCACTGGGTAAAATCACAGTGGGTTTTATATAAAGTGTCAAACTGTTCCTCCCAAACATATTTTACTTTAGAATAGATTAGATTCCACAGAAACATATCTAAACCAATTTAAAACAACTACAATTAATTATATTTTCCTAAGTAATTTATTTCTAAGTAGAGTATTAACAAAAAATACAGGATGATTTAGTAAAAAGACTTACAGTTACTAAAGCCATTCACTTTTGCAGCCATATATCAAA